CTTTGTTAAACCCATGCAGGGCAGAAATAGTGACTGCTCCAATCCATAGCGGGTGGCACCTTAAAGCACCTGCCAGTGATGGAGGCCCCTTTGTCCTTGCCTCAAAGAGCTGGCAGCCTCCACTGGGAACAAAGTGATTCCTGCAAACACATACGGGATCACCAGGAAAGTGCAAGGTGCAACCCGCATCTACGGCAGGTCTCTAATCTACAGTGTGTCCAGGGCTTGCTTGGTCTGTTTCAGCACCGGGGCCTTGGTACGAGCCTGACAATCCCCACTTCTGTGCCCGCCTGGCTGCCCTATGCTGGGGGAGCAGCCTTGATGGTGCCTGCACTCCACAGCAGATCCTCTGGGCAGGCACAGAGCACTCACAGTTCGGAGGCTGGAACAACTGCTGGGGAGACAATGGGCAAAATGAAGCGAAGAGACAGTGGGAGCTGATTTTTTCATTGCCTGACATAAAAACCCATGCGCTTCTCCAAGTCTGCCATCAATATTTAATTGCATTAAACAGTAATAGAACATTTACAGCTGACCACATCCTGGCTCCTTGCTCCCCGTGGGCTAGAGCTAAGCCGCTGCATGCACAAAGCTCTGCTGCGCTCCAGTGCATGAGGACTGCCCCAGGGCAGTGGGTGATGCTCATCCACAGCATTACAGCCTGCTGCCACCCCACCCCTGGGTCTCTGAGCCCCACTGGGTAAAGCCCAGTCCAGGTGGGAACCCATTGCTCAGGGATCGTTCATGGGGCCAGATTCCCCCCACCACCCCAGGAGACACAAAAGGCCACACCACGCTGGGGAGCCCTAAGACCGCTGCCAGATATTCAGGTAAAGGTGCAGTGGGATCTGATGCATTAGAGATGACCCAGGCTCCCAGCTGCAGGAGCACATGGTATGCCCCCAGGGCTGGAAGCCCACATCAGCTGCAGGCTCATACAACCCTGCAGATGAGCACCCCATCAACAGATGGGGCTCCCAGCCCTGGAGTGCACCTGGCCACTGGTTCAATTAATGGTATGATATAAATCAGCCATGTTATTTACACATTTTTTGTGGAATAACTTTGTGACTTATTCCTCTCGTTACCATGCCATTGATTGATTGAATGTGTTGCTGGGTCACAACTTACCATATGATGAACAAGTTAATCAGGTCTTATAAGAACTAGTACAGGAAGGGCCAAGCCTATTCTGAAGAAATATTATACAAATCATGGGTGTAATAGAGGGTGGGAGCAGCAGGCAACCTTACCCTGTCCTCCCTCCCCCTGTACATGTCCAAACCTGAGAGACTTCCACTGCCAGGGCCCTGGGGCCCAGAGAAATGAGGGTGGCAGCAGCAGATGCTGCACCCTACAGTATGTGCCCTCTCTACACTGCACCCCAGCTGGCTCAGAGCTGGCTGGTGCTGCATGAAGGTTTTGTAAGGGCCAGAGACATCCACATGGGGAGCGAGTCCTTCCAGTGCTGTGCTGTATGCAGCCCCTGGGGACTGCAAGTCATGTGGCAGTCAAGGCTTACCCCCAAAATATTGCACTGGCAGGACATAGAACCAGGAGAAGGAGACAGTTTGAAAAGTTGTGGGGTAGTGATGAAGAAAAGGGCTAATGCTTTGGCTGGAATGTACAATCAGCAAAGCAGGGCTATAAGGGACCTCAGGAAGGCATCTAGTCCAGCCCCCTGCTGGAGGCAGGATCATACCTATCTAAGCCATCCCATAAAACATGCATTTAACCTACTTTTTAAATACCATGAACTATCCCCTTGCACAACTACCAGGTACAATGCCCCAAAAAACCAAGAACACCTTCACTTACTACAGGGAAAGCAGGGAGATGAAGGCACTGCCAATGCATTGGTCCTGCTACGAGAACATCTGTTATTTGTTATGCAGACTCTATGGGTCTAGGCCCACCAGGAAAACTAAATCCCCCTGTCAGTGGTTAGAGGGAGGCCACTAACTACATAACAATTACATTCTTGGGATAAAAGATAAACAGAAATAGGAACTCAGGTCATAGGTTAATAGGGTTCCAAAGGAGGATAGGCCCCCTGCTACAGAGGAAGGCGGCACCCTCCCCCCCAACACACGCACACATGGGATTTTGATCACAGGGTAAAAATTCCCTCCTGATCCCAAATGTGGCAACCAGCCTGACCCTGCATGGAGAAGCAAGACCCTCTAGGCAGCAACCTCGATTTTTTAGTCCCAGCAGAAGCATTGGCAAACCCATCAAAATCTCCAGCCTTGTCTGTAGCCAACATCCAAAGTTTCTGAAGACAGAGAAGAAAACCCCCCTGACACCAGCCCCTTGTAGTATCCTACAAAGCCCAGAAACAGTAAAAAAAAACAAAACAAAACAAAAACAACCAACCCCTCATTCCATGCTTCACTGCAACCCAGGGACTACAACTCCACACACTCTAACTAGAGAGCCAGAATTCCCCTTTCTGTCCTTCTATCCCATCCACAAATTTATTCCAACTCCTTTATTCTTTTTTCATAACCAAGGAGGGGAAAAAAGGGGAAATGAAAGTAGATGCCCTGTGCAGCAGTGTTAAGATAGTGAATGAAGGGTTAATGCCCTATGCAGAAGAGCTGAAGAGAAGGTGAATGAAGGGTTATTATTCTCAGTGCAGGCAGCAGGGAGTAGAGGGTTAAAGCTCTGTGCAGGAGAATGTTATCTTTTTCTCTTTTCTAAATATTATTTCCTCCCATGAAACTGGCTTTTCATCCTTGGCTAGAGGCAGCTCCTGCTGCTGGGAATCCAGCAAGAGCCTGTATCTCTGCTACTGCACACTCCACTGCTCCCAGCAAGTAACCAAGACAAAGAGCCTCCCCCTTGAGAGCACAGACCCAGCACTGGGATGGAGGAAGTAGGCAAAGATACTGGTTTGTGTAGGCGGATGCTTAGGCCCAGCTGAGGGAGATGCCCTCAGGCTTGGGTTTAGGTAAAAAGCTTTTAATGCAGACTGGGGAGGAAATCAAGCAAACAGAAAACATCTCCCCCCCACTATTCTGCAGAGGTATCTTCCCCTTTTCCAGGAGACCTTGGAGACAATTTGTATCCATCCCTGCAAGCAAAATACACACTCCAAGATAGTTAGGGGATACGAGGGTCTACCTTCTCCCACTGATAATACTTTATTGGTAATGCTGCACACCTAACCAAAGAGCATCAAAAACGTATCTAGATCTAGGTATGAATGGTCTCATCTTAACCTTAACACGGCTGCAAGGGGCTAAAATCTTGCTTAACTGAATTTCACATTATTCCATCAGAAACAACACCCACCCCAACCTGTTTGCCAGCAAAGTGAGAGTGAATTTATCTTGTGTCCAGGAGTAATTTAGCATTTAATACTCATATAGTGTATTGAAGAACTCAGCTAATTACTCTCACAGTCATGCAGCCCTCAAGAGCAGAGCCAAGATGCAGGAGGTCCTGGTGCCCCATTACTCCCCATCATCCAGTGGACCATGCTGCCTCTCATTAACATCAACCAAACTTAATTATCTGAGTCTGCAGCAATGAACTGTTTGCAAATGTGTCTGACCAAAGAGGAGGCAAGGGGAAGGAAAGGGTCCAGGGCTGGCTGCAATGCTGCTAACCAGGGTAAAAACGGCTGGTCTAAAAATGATATCCAAAACATCATAAACTTTTAATTCACATGAAACAGCGCTATGGTAGTATAATCCCTTTTCCCTCTACACTCAAAAGGGTACAAATCATAGACAGCTTTTCTCTCAGACATTCAAATGAGAGTCTTGTGGTTTGGTTTGAACAGGGGAAGGTATGTGGTTGGAATTAAATTAATTTTTCCATTTTCTGCACTAGGGAGTTTGAGCTAAACTAAAAAGATTTTTTGAGTTTAAAGGGGCAAATCACCAAGGACAGTTGTATCTCAACTGGCAATGCTACTGGCTGTATATCATTTCAATAGCATCTTCAATGGGGATTATAATCTGAATTGAAGTGGAAATGTCCGAGGCAATGAAGCTGTCAGCAGTCTAAGATTAAGGAATTAAAACAGCAGCAAAGCATTATAGGATTTATTCTACATGTATTAGAAAAAAAGATGACTAAATACATTGCAGCCCTTCCTTAGGTCTGAAATTTCATAAAGGTACAGAGAAGGGCAAGAACAACGATCCCATCAATATAAAAGGAGACAGCACTATAAAAAAATCAGCTGCAGGAGATGTAAATCCTTCTAACCAGTAAAGCAGATGAGTCACAGAGGATTTGACTAAAGTAAATAAAAGGGAGCAATGAAAAGGACTTAGGGAACCAGCAAAGCTGAAGTGACTCAGAAAGCAGTCCCCCCAGTCAGACACAAGATGGGAAAGAGAAAGCCCCTAAACAAGCTTAGATTAACGTAGGGGTGAATATAAGTGGTCATTAAAAAACTACAGGTCACTTATACCTTAGATAAGAAATGCCAGCCTGGGATTCCCTATAAAATACATACATACACCAGACTTCCAAATATGCCCCTTCACCAAAGTTATATATGCCACAAGAGCTTTCACCTACTAAATTCAACAGAACCCCAACTCTCACTTAAAATCTCTACAAAACTCAGTTTTCAAAATTTTTTTGTTTTTGGCAAATAATGTGCAATATTTGGGGGGGGGGGGGGGGGGGGGTTGTGCCTTAGGTAAATTTACCTAGGTAAATCCCAGAGAGGTATTTCTTACCCATGCTAATGAAACTGTGGTTATGTCAATGAATTTAAGAAACATCTACGAAAGTAGAATTCATTATTCCTACAGATAAAGTATAAAAGAAAGTTTCAATATGTTCAGAGTCCAAACAGCCTCAAGCTCCTCTTAAAACAAGAAATCAAAATGTCAACCTATACAAACCAGAATAAACACTCATTCAAGTGCAACTCCTTTGGTTGCACGGTTAAAAAAAAAAAGTTAGAATTACCACCTACATCTCAAGGAAACAAAAATTATACCCATTTTACAGATAGAATGATTCCTGAATGATACTGTCTGTACAGGGTTTTATTAATTTATTAGCACAAAAAAGTACCCAGCAGAATATTTCCTGCACGCACAAGGCCAAAGAACACCAAGTGACAAGCAGCCAGAACTAGTACAAAGAATGAGATGGCCAAAGGCCATAGGGTTTCCAGAAGAAACATTCAGCTTGCAGACTCTATACAATAGATTAAAAGAATCAAAGCCAAATACCATGACAACTCTGTAGAATTTACTACAGAGTGTGACAGGGGGATTTTTTGGAGAAAAGACTAATTTAAAGGTCTCTTTATTTAAAATTTACAAGTTTGCCAGTCAGGCTCTGCAGGCAGTGGGGCACTAACGAAAGGCGCACAACTTGTTCTGTAGCACAGGTTCAGTGTAGAATCATTTCTCAGCTGCTCCAGCCAGCTTCTACTGGGATAATTACGTACAAGTTCTGTCAAGTCTTTAAAGAATTTTCCACAGTCCCCTAGGTATAAAGAAATCTGTATCAAGAAAGAGGAAAGTCCAGGGCTGATCAGTGACTTTTCTTGGTTGAGCCAAAGCCAGAGAAACCCATCACAGCTGCCATTTCATCATCCTCTTCAAATGTCAAGTCTTCCTCAGCCCTCCTCTTCTTTTCTCGTTGTTTTTCCTTCTTGTATGCTTTGGCTTTTTCCTCCTGCAGTATAAGGAAAGAAGCAGAATGATTCTAATTCCTTATACAACTGGACCCTTGAGAGAGGAAGATGGGACACTTACAATTTAATCTAATTCCCTTCACTAGAAAAAGGGAACAGGCTTCTCAAAAGCATACAACAGATGGGTGTAAAAACAGTGGACATGGAAGGAATGTGGTGTACCAGAAGAAAAGATCACAGGTTTGAAACCCTCAACAAGAGAAGCTACATGTATAGTGACCTGTGACTTGACTGTAGAGTCATGCAATTATCAGCATCTGCCAACATACAAATGCTAAAAACCTTGTCAAAAAACAACAAACAAACAAACACAAGGGCACGAGGAGAGCTGTTTTTAAAGGAAGAGACATTTATCTTTTATTGATGCCCTGTTCTAACAGTAGTGGTGAGGAATGATGGCTACAGACAATGTCACTCTCTGTTGGCTTTTGGTGCAGAAGAGTGACAGCTGCTCAGTGGAACATAAGCCGAGTTCTGAGTGGCTTTGGGGGGTTTTGGCATCAAAGTGTTTTCACTGCTCTAATCAAAGTGTTTCATTCTACAAGGATCACAGGCCTTGGAATGACGCCAGACTTGTACTGGGGGATTCAGAAGTGTGACTCCAGCTCCCAACTCAGCAACAGTTCCTGCTGTTGCTATCACTACCCACCACTTCCGTGCCTTATAGCTCTATGCAGCGGTTTATTCCAAGACAGCCCTACCGAAAAGTATGCTATACCAAAGGCTGCTGCTTATTTGTGTGTAATATATTAGATTTACAGCAGTTTTTAAATCTGAAGCAGTAGCTCGCACTACTGGTGACTCCGCATTTGTTTTTTCTCCCCTAAATATATTAATACAAATTACTTGCATTCTAGCAGCAACAAAACCTATAGTTGATCAGCTTTATAGCAACTCAGCCAATCTGAGGAAAGGGCAACTGTCAGCCACATCTTAGGACTCTGTTCCCCTGTGGATAATTCCTACTATCAAATGAAACTCAGTCTAGGTGCCCAAGGCGACAGGGGAGCCTCAAACAGCACCAATTTAGTGACTGTATTTATTTGTAATAGCTACTGATACAGAAATAAAAGCATTAAAAAGGGACCAGAGTGTATACACAATGCTTTTCAGCTATCAGTAGAGCTTTGCTGGTTATTTTTAAATGGAATCTGAGGCAAATATTCACTACAAGGATTTGATTCTACAGTTTAAATAGAAGCCTATATTAACGCAGTGCTTGGCACACCTGTCACTATAAGAGAAAAAAGGCTGCTTAGGGAGCAGCCCCTACCCCCACTAGGAAGTCATCTGACCAGAAGGGGGCCAGGCTTGAGACAGATAAACTCAGCGCCTAAGCTGGTCAGGCAGTCTAGCCCCAGGGGCCAGAGAGTGAAACTGCTGGAAACAGGGCTCCTATCACAACAGCAGGGCTTGGGTAAGCCACACAGAGGCCTTGGAATAGACAGGCCTGAGAACAGGGGCAGGTGAACCCAGAGCCTAGACAGGCAGGCCTTGGAATACATAAACCTGAGAACAGGGGCGAGTGAGCCCACAGCCTCGACAGGGGTGGCAGAGAACAGAGGGCTAGGGTGCCTGAAGCCCAGCAAAGGAAAGGGGCCAGAGGAAGTGAGGGGCTGGGGCCCAGAGGTCTGGAGCCCAAGAGTGGCAAGTATTAGCAGGGCCAAGGGAGCCCAAGTCTCAACTGCCCTAGGAGCAGGGCCAAGGTCTGGCGAGACCGAAGGTAAGGGACCACAGCCAGAGACCAAGTGGACCAAGGAGCCTATAGTCCAGGAGGGGCAAGAACTGAGGTCTGGGAGCCTGGAGCCCAGGAGGGGCTGTAAGTTGTCAGTAGGGCCTGGGAGCCCAAAGGTCTCACTGGCCTAGGAGTTGGGCCAGGGTCTAGTGAAAATCGGGGACCACTGCCAAAGACTGCTGGGGCCAAGTAGCTCAGAGATCCCAACTAGCTTAGGAGTGCAGCCAGGTTCTAGGGAGACCAAAGGTCAGGGACCACAGCCAGAGACCATGGGGGGCAAGGAGCCTGTAGCCCATAAGAGCCCAGGAGGGACACATTAGAGCTGTGTAAAATGGTACCATTTCATTTTGACTTCCGTTTTGCCATTTCAACAGGACAGTGTTTCAAGTTTCATTTAGTTTTGTAAGCACTGTTCTGCTCCGTTTCATTTTGTTGAAACTGTTTCACTGTTTTGACGTTTCGCCCATAAGCTATAATAGGGAAGCACAAAACTGCCTATAACCTTGTCATTTTGTGGCAGATTTGGATGAAAACAGCAGGCATGGCAGCCCAAGCTGGGGCCACAACACCTGGCAAGTTTCAAGGAGATAGGTACAGGGGTTTCTGGGAAACTGCACCTCAAGCAAAACTCATGGGGGAGGGGAGGTGTGCATGTGTGTATGCGTGTGTGTGCGCGTGCCCACCCTCACTGGCACCTGTACATGACACAGTAGTGTGCCCCAATGAGGTCTCCTCCTCCCCTACAGCCTCAGTACGATCCACCACTTCAAATAACAACTGGTAATAATAACTTAGTGAGCAGCACAGTAGCACCAGCAGAATCTCAGGGAGCCAAACTGTGACAGAGCCTCTCTTCTGCTCCTGCAGGAGCTTCTTTCCCAGCAGTTGCCAGAGCACTCTCCTAAGCCCCAGGGCTGGGGCTTAGATGTGCCCAGGGCCCTGCATCCTTCCACTCAGGTGCTAGGGGTTTTGGTCTAAGGACATGGCACTGGTAGACAAGGTTCTTTGGGTCAATCTAATCTGGTATCTTTTAGCAGACCAACTGTATAGTTATAGAAATATATCTTAGCAAGGTTTCAGGTTGAAAAAACCCTTGTCAGGCTTAGCAAGCACCTGCAGTTGGTGTGTGCGCTGTTCCAGGATGGAAGGAATAGTAAAGAAGCCAGAGGCTGTCATGCAATGCAGGCAAGAAAGCCAGTCAGTGAAAATTGAAATGGAGGCACCAGGGGGTGAGGGACAGGCTGGGGTGGTGGGGAAGGGGGTTTGTAGCAGCACAGGAAAAAGTGCAGAGGAACCTGGGGAGAGTCAGATGTCTGGCAGGTTGTAGCATGTCAGAATTCCAATGTCTATATTGAGTCCATCACTTTCTGTACCTGCTACCTAAGAGGCTGATGAAGTGTAGTTCATAGGCTCATCTGTGAAAAGTGGTTTGCAAATTCAAACAAGCACTGAACCTTGCTAACCACATCATCAGAAGTCAACTTCCTATTGCCCAAAACACACTGAATAGATCCAGGCCATGCCATGACAAGACACAAAACCTCCCAACAATATTTCCAGTATGAAGATACCTTCACAATACAAAACATATCTCCATCAAGGCACCAAGTGCCTTGACGGAAAATACGTGGAGACACCAAGCAACAACTGCGCACCAGAATGAGTGCACACCAAAAATCTATCAAAGACAACAACAGAACACCACCTGTCTCCAATCTCTCAGGCCTGATCCTCAAAGGGAATTTACAAACCACTTTTCACAGATGAGCCTATGAACTGCACTTCATCAACTTCCTAGGTACAGAAACTCATGGACTCAATATTGACTTTGGAATTCTGACATGCTACAACCTGCTGGACATCCGACTCCCCAGGCACCTCTCCACTTTTACCTGTCCTGCTACATTCCCCTTATTCCCCCTACACTCCAGCCTGTCCCTCAGCCTCTGATGCCTCCATTTCCATTTTCACTGACTTGCTTTCTTGCCTGCATTGCATGCCAGCCTCTGGCTTCTTTACTATTCCTTCCATCCAGGAAGAGCACACACACACCAGCCGCAGCAGCCTCCTCAGCCTGACAAAGGATTTTTCAACCCAAAAGCTGGCATCCCAGGCAGCTAAGCTGAGCTCACCTGGAGCCTCGTAACTCCACTGCAACCAGCAAGCCTGAGGCCTGTCAAAGATGTGACGGGTCTGGGCTTTCCCCAGCCAGGACTGTGAACGTATGTGCAGTGGCTGGAGTTTGTGGCACCTCCTACCCGCCTTTCACCAGGGGGATCCTCAGTTCTGGCATTTCCTCAGGCCGCTGAGCCACCAGCAGTCCCACCAGGCCTCCCAATCCTGGCAGAGCGCAGTTTTAATGGTCATGCCCAGGACCTGGGGCCTCCTCCTTCCCCAAAGCCCCAATCCATACCTCCAATTTCATCATGGCACAGAAGCTCAGCAGGGACATGTTCTTTCCCTGCTGACTGGTGATGCAGTGAGTGCCCCCTCCAGCTCTGAGAGCAGAGCATTAAATATTTTTTAAAAATTTAAAAAGGAAATAGGTATGGACGAGTGAGGATGGTGGCATTCACTCCATCTGCACCTAGAGCTAGGAGAACCCCAGCAGCGGGAAGTTCACCTTGAAGAACACCAGCTGCTCCACCAAACCAGGATCCAAGCAGGTTCAGTGGGATGTCACTACATCCCCAGCAATGCTGAACACCCTCTCACTCAGAACATTGGTAAATGGACAGGACAGATGTTCCTAAGCAACCATGGCCAGATCCAGCCACATCTGGCTCTGGGTTGCCAAGCAGGCCAAGTGGTCGCACAGCAGTACCTCCACATCCGCAGAGAGATAGGCAGCCACCAAGGCCTGAGTGCTACCTGCCTGATGGTGGAATCTGGCGCCTCTGGCCCCCACCATGGAAGCCATGCCCTTGGCCCACATTGGCAGCACCTGTGGTGGAGGAGGAGACTGGCTGGTGGATGGTGTGCCAGCATGAGACAGTGGATCCCCCTCTTCCACGTCCCCCTGCCTCTGCTGTTCTGCCTCCCTGACTCTCTTCACCAGTACTTCCATCCACTGATTCAGGCTTTGGCTGCTGCATATGCTGCCCTTCACCATCAGGTCACACATGGCAGCCAGTGTGTGGACCATACTGGACCGCAAGGGATAAAGCTGTTTCCTGATGCCCCCCTTCAGCTGCTTCACCAGTGCCTGCATGTCTGGTGACAGCAGCTTGCCCCAGCCAGAAACACTGATCCCCTGGAAGCTCTCTATTTGGCTCTGAAGTTCCCTCACTACAGGGACCACTTGGCTAAGTAGGGCATCGCCAGCGCTGAGGGTCTCGGTGGCCTCGAGGAAGGGCTTGAGGACCGCCAAGATCCGGGAGATGGTATCCCACTCAGCTCTGTTCAGAGAGCTGCTGATCCCAATCTCCCCGAGCAAGGCCATCATATGGATGTTCTTCTGTTGCTCCACCAGCTTCTTGAGCATCAGGTATGTGGAGTTCCACTGACTCTCCACATCCTACATGATTTTGTGCTGTTCAGATTCATAGATGTAGGGTCGGAAGGGACCCAAGTAGATCTTAGGTTCAAGTCCGACCCCCTGCCCTGGGCAGGAGAGAATACTGGGCTCAAATGACCCCAGCTAGGTAAGTATCCAGCCTCCTCTTAAAGACCCCCAAGGTAGGAGCCAGCATCACTTCCCTTGGAAGCTGGTAGGTTCCAGATCCTGGCTGCCCTGACTGTGAAGTAGTGTCTTCTAATGTTCAGCCTAAACCTACTCTCAAACAGCTTATGGCCATTATTCCTTGTTACTTCAGGAGGTGCTTGGGGGAACAGGGTCTTTCCCATTCCCCATTGGTCCTCCTGGTAAGTTTATAGATGACCACCAGATCTCCTCTCAGCCTTCTCTTGTGAAGGCTGAACAGGTGCAGGTTCCGTAGCCTCTCCTCATAGGGTCTGTCCTGCTGTTCCCAGATCATGCAAGTGGCCCTCCTGTGGACGCTCTCAATGCTGGCCATGTCCCTCCTAAAGTGTGGCGCCCAGTACTCCAAATGTGGCCTGGACACAGTACTCCAAGAGGCCTGACCAGCGTCGCATAGAAGGGGGAGGATCACCTCCTTGGCCCTGCTTGTGATGCATCTGTGGATGCAGGACAAGGTGCATTTAGCCTTATTGACCACGTTAGCAGCCCATGTTCATTTTGGAATCGATAATGACTCCAAGATCTCTTTCTGCCACTGTGCTTTCGAGAAGGGAGTTCCCCAGCCTATAGGTATGCTGCTGGTTCTTACTGCCCAAGTGCAGTACCCTGCACTTGTCAGTACCGAATCCCATCCTATTCTCATTTGCCCACCCCGTAACCCCGTAACTTGGTGTCGTCAGCAAATTTAAACAGGGTGCTTTTCATCCCCTCGTCCAAGTCCCTAATAAAGAAATTGAACAGTGCAGGCCTGAGGATCGAGCCCTGGGGGGACTCCACTGCCCATATCCCTCCAGGTCGAATATGACCCATCCACCACCACTCCCTGGGTATGGCCCCTCAGCCAATTTGCGACCCATCTGACCGTGCAGGCATCAATGCCACAGTCACCTAGCTTTTTAATGAGAATGG